CTAGACATCCATCTCGAGCTAGCAGGGGTAATAGCAGTCACGCCAACACAGCAGGGATAGAACAACAGTCAAGAGACAGTATGCGCCAAATTGCCTTGCCATTTGGCGGATAATCCTGTTAGGACACAGTACTTTGCATCCAACTGGTCAGGCCCAGTTGAGTTCTGCTACATGTCTCCTCCAGGAGGAATGGGAATCTGTGTGCATCGAGGATTATGAGCTGTTACTTGTCGGCGGCCGGTCAGGATACAAACTCTCTAACCCAGCTAGTGAATGCCATGACAATTGGTTCAGTTGGCAATGCGGGAACAGGTGATATGCCAAGCTGACACCCTCGGAGCAGGGATGCAGCTCCTGAGTGACAATCTCCTCCGGGGTGCTCCGCTTCATTACTTTCCACGTCGTTAGCGGTATCCTACGAAGTCAGGCCCACTGGGATGGTCATAGCATTCTTTGATAGTCGGCAGGCGTCGGAAGGTTACACTTTTATGCATACCTTAAAGTGAAGTTGACTCCGAACTAGTATCAAGCTTGAATTATTGCGACTTAGCTTCTTGTTCTGATTAGCTTCAACTGTGCCTCGGTTGCACAGTTCTAAATATTACATACTTCTAAGTACACATGTAAAAGGCCAATTCATATCTCTCTGGCTAGCTACCACAAAGTTTTGCTAGTATCTCGTAGCTTCTGAACCTACCTCCCCATCTGCTGCAATATGGGACCAATCCCAGCAACATCCCTCAACGACCTCGATCGTCAGCAGCTCTTACAAGACCCATCAAAGTCGCTATGGACTCACTTAAACTTGTTCATGCCGCAAGAAGCCCGATCTCAGGCACTAACTGGTACTCTGACCGAAACAGAATCAACAAGCTCTAGTGCATCTGACATCCAGGAACAGAGAAAGCTCACCGAAGAAAAGGTACGCGCTCAATCTTGCCCCTTGGTAACCTTCTGTACTTCTGACAAGCTTCTCACACCAGATAATCTGGGCTCCTCTTGATTACCTTTGCAGCTTCCCAGGCAAAGACATCAGAGGCAAGCTGATCTCAGCCTTCAACCAATGGCTCCAAATCCCAGAGGACAAACTCGACGTCATCAAGCGGGTGGTCGGTCTGCTGCATTCGGCCTCGTTGCTGTATGCACTTTCCTACATGTTTGCCAGCCGAATACGAAGCTTACAATCACAGAATTGATGATATCCAAGACTCGTCGAAACTCAGACGAGGGTTCCCCGTCGCGCATAGCATTTTCGGTATCGCGCAGACCATCAACTCGGCCAATTTCGCCTACTTCTGGGCTCAACAGGAGCTGAAAAAGTTGGGCAAGCCTGAGGCTATGGTCATCTTTACGGAAGAGATGTTGAGGCTTCACCGCGGCCAGGGCTTGGATCTCTACTGGCGAGATTCCTTGACCTGCCCCACGGAAGAGGAGTACCTTGAAATGGTTGCCAACAAGACCGGCGGGCTGTTCCGGCTTGCGATCAAGCTGATGCAGATGGAGAGCCAGAATACAAAGTAAGCTCCTCGCTTTACAGCACGTATGGTGACTAATAGAGATACAGGGATTGCGTGCCGCTCGTTGACCTTCTCGGAATCATCTTCCAAATCCGCGATGACTACCAGAACCTGCAGAGCGACTTGTATGCTAAGAACAAAGGGTTCGGTGAAGACATCACCGAGGGCAAATTCTCTTACCCCGTTATCCACAGCATTCGCAGTGATCTGAGTAATTTCCAGTTGATGAATATCCTGAAGCAAAAGACTGAGGACGAAGATGTCAAGCGGTACGCTGTTCGCATCATCAAGTCCACGGGAAGCTTCGATTATTGCCGCAAGAAACTGGCGAGTCTTACGGCAGAGGCGAGAGAAATCCTGAAGGACTTTGGTGATCTAGGCAACACAGATGGCTTGAAGGGTATCCTGGACTTTCTGGAGCTTAAAGCGTAGCTGCTACTGGTTAGCACCTGCGTGCATATAATGAGCAAGAGAGTTGCTAGTTTATAACGAATTTGCAATTTGATTATATTTTCTGTTGTCCCTTATGTTCAGGCCTTGTCTACGGGGTCAATAATCAGCGGTAGATGTCTACACAGGAGTTTATCTACGGTCTTAGTGTTAGTTCCTCTTCAGAACGGATTTAGAATGCAGAATCATGCTGGTAATATCGTATACAATGGGTCCTTTGTCTATGATTATCCAAACGAGTACGGTTATAATCAGGACATACCTCATTCAAGGTGATTAACTATCTGTTGAACTAAGGCTGACTATGCCTATCCATACACTCGATATGGCAAATATGGAGATATAGAATTAATCGTATCAACCAAATCTATAGATAAAACGAATGATCGAGTATCTGCAAAGGGGGCAGTGGTGAGTCAATCTGATCCATCTCAATTCGGTCAGCAAGTACTGCCACTAAGCTAGTCCAAATGCACAATCAGCCGCAAGAGCAAGGCCATAGTACAATAATTCAGACTATATGCCAATAATCACTATTATAGGTCGCGGAGCCAATAGTTGTCGCCTTGCCCTGGTCCATAAGCTGATTGTCAGTCAGGAAGGGGTACCCTGGCTCCGGACCAAATTCATGCAAGTCCGTGAACACCGCGCCAATCAGGTTACTTTCAACAGATGCCTTTCGAGACCGGGTTCATGTCATGTCCTGATTGTGAGTGAGGTATATTAGCTGCTAGTGTGATAAGCTCGTGCAGTCGAACCACGACCCTATCAAGGTACATCTCCACGGATCTGGGCTTATTCGACAGCTGAAGAACCCCTGTTGGCGTTCTGAGTAACACTCTGGTTAAGGTAATGGAGTTGCAGGATTACTGACATGTTCAATAGGGCAGTTCCTAGGCTTGTCAGCTGCTCCTTGAGCGATAGCATCAGCTGGACTGCCGAGTCAGGCAGCAAGCCAAGCAGTGACGTGGACTGACCCTTAATACAGTGCATCTCAGTCAGTCAATCCTAATATGTAGCTGTCGGTGCTTTTCAAACTGGCTGTCGGGGCTTTTCCCTGTTTGTCAGCCACTCGATTAGGAAGGTATATTGAGCTAATATTTGTGATGTATATTATTCTCCTTGAACATCATTCTCATTGATATACCAGCCGCTCGTTGACCTTCTGCTTCACCCTCCTCCACTTGCTGTTGGATAGAGACATGTGCAAAATGTACAAAGTCGTGGAAACTGACGCATCTCCCCGCCAGCGATCTGTCCTGCAGCTGGTGAAGGACCTGCTTATCCTATCCAGATTTCACAAGTACAACCCATGGCTGGCTGTATTCTCAGGAGGTGTGTCCATTTCTACATGCAATATTCATCCATTGACCTCTGGTATCTCAGTTTGGGCAACGTTGCTTGCCGGTGCTAATCAAATAACTACTCATCCGGCCTCGATCTCGGCCGACCACATCGTAAAACAGACGCTTCTATGCTTGATCTGCGGCTACATCTTCTGCGGTGCAGGCATGGTCTGGAATGACTGGATCGACCGCAACATCGACAAAAACGTAGCGCGCACCAAGAATCGGCCCTTGGCAGCGGGGAGGGTAACTGCAACCGAGGGCTTCATCTGGATGATGGTCCAGTATGCTGTCTCGTGGTGGCTGATGGATATAATGCTGGCAGGTCACGACGTGTATGAGAACCTCTCACAAAGGCCCCGAGAACATTGATAGCTGACCCAAACAGCGCGGCGGCTATGATCCCAGTCACTATCAGCACAATCCTCTATCCCTTCGGAAAGCGTCAACTCTGCCGACGACTATACATCTATCCCCAGTACTTCCTCGGTTTTACTCTGGCCTGGCCCGGCGTCATCGGATGGATGGCAATCAAGGGCCGCCAGATCCCGTTCACGCAAAGCATCTCCGAGTCCCTGCCGCTTTCAATCACCGTCTTCGCCTGGACTCTGTACCTCAACACAGCATACAGCTACCAAGACGTCGTCGACGACTCCAAGATGAACGTGAACTCGGTCTACGTCGCCGCGGGGTCCCGCATCCACATGTTCCTAGTCATCCTGGCGGGTCTCGTGCTCGGCTCTCTGTATCTGCAGCTGCGGACCCAGAATTCTGGCTGGCTGTGGGCCTCGTGGATGTGTGTCTGGGCGTTGTCGTTTGTGCATCAGCTGCTGAGATTCGATGCGAAGAAGCCGGAGAGTGGTGGCCCGCTTCACAAGGAGAACTTTGCGCTTGGAATTTGGACTATCGTTGCCTGTGCTGCCGAGTTGGGGCTCTCGTCCGGAAAGGCGGATCAGTTCTTGTCTAACCGTGTCTTCCGTCGTTAGTGGTTTATACTGCGGAAATGGCGCTGAGGTCGAGGCACGAGTCAACTATTTGCCTCGGCGAGGCAGTACCGCGTGCTGGGAACCAGGCTGCATGTTGGTTGGCATGGGTTCTGCTCCTTGTGATGGGCTTTATTCGTGAGTGGCATGGTTGGGTGAATGGGATGAATGACCAGAGTACGTTGCGTTTGTAGACTCTGGCCGAGGTGCGAGTATGACTATCGTTGTGAGAAGCAGGATAGATCAAACAATAACTATTTCATTGCCTGCTTTGATTAATGCTCTGGTCTCCACTTCGTCATCTTCATCATCCGTAAATATTTCCAGTATAGGGCAGTATAGTACTGCGACCACTGCCAGATACTACGTGGCAGTGCTCTTGATTGTCATTTCCGCGAGTTCAAACAGACTTTTGCAACGAAAAAAGAAAAGATTAATATTCTTGCCTCTACCTCTGGTCAGAGGAGAAGCTAAATTCTTTTGTCGAATGCTCTGTTTGACGTGTAGCATGAAGTCCACTGCGATGGAATGTCAATGGCCACAGAAATATATATTATGATGCCACAGTAGGACGGGATAAGCCGACACTGGAACAGGCAAAGAAGTACTAGTAACAAAATCAAGACGCATATAAATCGAGTAATAATCAAGACGACGGACTGTATCAACACAGAGAGAATAAAAACATGGCGAAAAAGAAAGGTCGATCTACATGGGACTCGAACCCACAACCTCCTGTTTTCCAGCATAGGAGACAGGTGCTCTACCATTGAGCCAATAGACCTTTGTAGCCCAAATTGTCCCATTTTAGCCTTATATCCCAGGCATAATTATAATAGCTCGGTTTGCGGGGTAGGCATATCAATAATACTAAACATGCTCACAACAAACAGCTAATTCTCAACATAAGCAACTGAACGGCTCTATTGTCAATTACAATAAGAAGCCCCCAGACCTTCAGTCAAAATGAACATCAACCAAACCAACAGCAGCAGCAGCAGCCTCTCAACCCGAATCTCCCTCCGCTGGCTCCCCGACCCCGCCTTCGAAAACACCGACACCATCGTCCTGTCCCTAATGGGTTGGTACGTCGACCTCCGCGTCGACAAATCCACCGGTAAAATGGACTGGTCGATCGCTGGCCAACGCATCGTAGAAAGCCAAGAGCCACGTACGTACCCTCACGCAATCTGTGGCTAAGCTATTAGCTAACTCAGGTACAGTACGCGTGCTTTTCACACACGCCATCGACTCGCATAATGCGTTTGAGGCTTTGGATTGTGGAACTTTTACCCAGCTGCCGAACGGGGATGGTCTTGAGACTGGGTCGATGCCGCGTTGGGACTTGCCTGGTAAGCCGGTTAGGGAGTATGAGGAGGTGTGGCGGGAGTTAGCCTTCAGAGAGGGGCCTGAGGGGCCGGGGAGGGGAGTTTCGTGGGTGCTGGAGGCGAGGGGGGATGAGCAGGGGGTGAGCGGTCAGGATGCGAGTACGGTGACGAGGATGTTCATTGCGAGGATCTGGGGGACTTATGTTGCGCTGCGCCAGGAGCAGATGCACTCCGGTGGAGACTCGAAGGCTGAAGTCAAGGATGGAGGGGAGGTTAGTGCAAGACGCGAGGAATGGGACTCTACTTCTGGGTGGAAGACGAAGTACGTCCTTGGCCCGGATGCCGATAAATTACCCTCCATGACGACGATTGACACCGGAGATGGAGATTGGAGCATCGGCAGCGAAGTGGTGCTGAGCGGCCAACCATACATTGTACGAGCGTTTGAACGAATTAAACAAGAATGAATATTAGATAGTCTATACATCATGCAGGTATATACATTAGAGTCGTTATTTACTGGTCGTTAACAAGGACGTAGCGGTAGCGGGCCTTGCCAGCGTCCATGTCGATAACAGCCTGGTTGGCATCCTTCATGGGTCTCTCCTGGATCCAGGGGTGAACACCCTTCTCAGCGGCAAGCTGGAGCATCTCCCGGATCTCACTAGGGCTGCCGATCAGGGAACCGCCCATCTTGACTCTGCGACCGATCAGAGCGTGCGCAGGGATCTGCAGAGCACCGTCCTCGGGAGCACCCATCTGGACGAAGGCACCGTCGGTGCGGAGAAGAGAGCAGTATTGCACAATGGGCATCTGGCGATGTCAGACAATGGCCTCATTACCGAGACAGAGAGTGATGAACATACCTTGGAGGAAGAAACAGTGGAAACGATCAGATCAAGGGAACGGTTGTGGGTCTTAGCCCAATCAGGCTCGTCATCAGTTGCAATGTACTCATCAGCACCCAGCTTGAGAGCATCTTCCCTCTTGTTGGCCTTGCGGGAGATGGCGACAACCTTGTCAGCGCCCAAGGCCTTGGCGAACAGGATACCAAAGTGTCCCAATCCACCGATTCCTACAACTCCGACCTTCTTGCCGGGACCGCAGCCGTAGTGCTTCAGAGGGGAGTAGAGGGTGATACCACCGCACATCATGGGGGCGGCCTCAGCAGAGGGGATGGCATCGGGGATCTTAAAGACGAAGTGAGAGGGAGCACGGTGGTACAGAGCGTATCCACCGTACGACTTGTCGCCGTTGTAGTGGACGCCATTGTACGTGCCAACCATTCCATGACTACAGTACTGCTCCATACCGGAGGCGCACTCCTCGCAGTCGCCTTTGCGGCCCAGGCAAGAGTCGTTCTGGGCTCCAACACCAACACGGTCACCGACCTTGATGCCTCCCTCGGCCTTGGAACCAACGCGGACGGCGATACCGACGATTTCGTGACCGACACAGCAGGGGTACATGGTGGGGCCCTGGAATAGGTTAGTCTCACTGTCTAAAATGGATGCCGAAAAGAAAAAAGCATACCCATCCGCTTCTCAAGGTGTGCAGATCAGAGCCGCAGATACCGGAGTGGGTGATCTTGATGTCGACATCGGTCTCCTCCCACGCCTTGGGGGTGAACTCCTTCCACACCATGTTGCCCTCGGCGGCATTCTTGTCCAGGCCAAGCCAGCCCTCGAACTTGTAATCGGTAGCAGCCATTGTAACTTTTCGTTTTGATTTCGTTTAGTTTAAGGTTGTGAGCGATGCATCTGATTCTCCACGGGTCCTCACGACATCTTATATAGACCAACAGCGCCCAGAGAAGATGGAAGATCGTCGGTGCTTAGAAATCGGGCAAGAAGTTTCTGTACCCACTCGCCTTGACTGTGGTAAGCGCCCACTTTAATCTCCATTATGTCCGGCAAGCCGCCACAGTGATGCGGCCGGTCGTCTACCTTTATGGTCCCTCAAAGCGTACTGTATGGCTTTGAATGATGGCACATATGACGTCTTGCAAGTCCTCGCAATTCTGAGCTTCCTTATGGCGTAAGCTTACTGCTTGTTAAGCTGCTTATTCGGGGATAAGTCAATTCCTTCAGACCAGGGGGGGGTGCAGAAAATGGAAGTTCGGGATGATTCCATGAGTGGGTCGCTCGGCCCTCGTAGCTCTACCGTATTTCCGGCTCGCTTCCCCAATTCTGATTGGCGGCATAAATTTAGGCACGGGGCTGGATATGCAGGTCGCTTATGCCTTCGTCATTCTTCACAAATCTTTATCTCCACACTCGGCAAGGATTATGCGAACTTGCTCGGAAACTTTCTGTCAAGTTGAGCCGACTCCAAGCCGGTCAGGGGTTGTTCTATTATTCTTAAAGCCATGGAATAAGTTTCATGTTATTGGCGATGACCCAGGTTTGCATTAAATCGGAGAAGCCATGCTGTTTGATCACTGATCTACTCCGTAGGCTACGGAGTTTACAGATACATAGTATGTCACATCCTTAGGCATTACCCGATCTTGCTCGCTCAGTACTAGGATTGAATTCATGATACGTCCAACTTCAAACCCTTTCCAGGTATCGTGTTGCCCAGAACTAAAGGCTCTGTGATCGACGACCCGCTTAGTTTCTAGAAGCCTTCTCTCCAGCTTTTACAGTTAACCCACACTTTTGAACGTGCGCTACCCAAGGATTGATCGAAAATGGACCCATTGGCTTCACAAGGCGTCATATTCCGGGCGGAGTCTCTTGTTGCTTGTTGGATAGATAAGGAAACCGAGTCCTCAGCTGGAGATATGTAATCACAATTCCCAATGCGTGCCAGATAAGGACGGAGAAGGCCTCTCCCGTGTGGGTATGTTTGAACGGTATGCAGTGATTTTGAGAGCACTCAAGATAGCATATCTCGTCTTTGATCTTAGTTAACTCTTTGTGATCTATCATCATATAGAAGCCAACTTTGGCTCATCTGAAGCACTGTGTATAGAACCCAGACGTCTTTTGAGGTTGGAAAGTCTGCGATACAAAGGATGAGCTGCGACTTCGAGAGCAGTGTAAGGTCTATCTGATTGACTCCACTCTTAGAATGGAAGGTTTCGTGAAGTAGTATTTTATAAAGAGGAATGTATCTCCACTGTCGTTCTTATCTCATAGCAAGGTCCTGTTTAGTACCAATAACATATAAGCCATAGAAATAACTCCATATTCAATGTCAATGATAGTCCAACACTACCCAGCATGAGATGACAGTCAGCCAATTGCAAGACACCAACAGATTAAGTCAACAAGTTTATTACGTCACAACTTCCACTCACGATCTACTCGTCGTTGAATGAAGTGCAAAGGTATCATAGTGCGGTGTCAGCCGCCGCAACACACGAAGTAGCATAGTTGTCTCCATTCTGGCACCGATCCAAGAGCAGGTCATCCAGAGGTAAATTCCACGGCTCTGAATATCCCTCCTGCGCGCCGCCAGCAACATGCTCTTCCGCACCCCAGTACTCAATCTCAACGTCGAACTCCTCCAACCCCCACAAGTCTAGGCAGCGGCGAATCGAGTCACAGGCAACACCCCAGGCATCGTGCAAATTAGGTTCTCCGACGATGACCTTAGCGAGCGGGACAAAGCAGGCTTGACCGTCGACGTGAGTTTCGACAAGTTCGTAGCGCACCTCCTTGAATGTGATGTCGTATGCGGAAAGTATGAAGTGTATTACCTCCTCGAGGCCGCTGATATTATCCAGGTCCAGGAGCGGATACTGGACTTGGGCAGGATCATCGTCAATAAGCATTGGATCGATAGTCTCGTCTTCCATAACGGTGTCATTATCCGTCGAAGGGAGTTCATGGCTGAGTTCCTGCACCATCCTCTCCAACCCGTTAGCCGGAGAGTCCGGCAGAGTATGGAAACTCTGAATCTGGCTAGTGGTGGGTAGCCGGTGGGGCAGCTCGGGCTGGTAGATATATGATGGCATCGTGAAGTTTGATTGGAGTTGTAAGACAGCGAACGACTCTACTGAGATATTATAATTGCGAGACTGAGCGGAGAGTGCGGGGAATACCGATGAGAGCTGTATAAACTGAAGGGTGTTAGAGAAGAGACATTGAAACAATTGAAACGAAGTAAACAGGTGAGGATGCTGGCCCGCTCAGCGGACTCGGTTAGCATAACGCATCGTCATTGAGATGGTGTAGCACGACAAGTCGATGATGAATGGCAACGGCGTCATGCTGAATGCGGTGACATTCCCAAATCGGAGTCGGCTGTCTTCGCTGGTAGAATCCACGGTACGTTGAAGTCGAACCAGGAACGGACACTGTCACAAACAAACTTGACAGCTCCAACGTTCCCCCCGCCAGACGGATAATCCCGTCATTCACCGTGTCCATTCCACAGACGAAGCTTTGTCTGCCTTCCGCCTATTTATCGACGCGACTCCCCCATTCCGCCCTTCCCCCACTTCAACTCCTCCCTCCTTCCTCCTTCTCTTCATCCACTCCAACTTCCCACAACCGACTACTCTACAACGCTGAAAGTTAACAACCCAACATGCCTCAGAACCAGGACTACACCTACAAGAGCTCCGGCACCAACAGCCAGGTGAGCCTTCCCTGTCTCTCCCCATCCATGATATGACTCTGACTATCTACAGGGCAACCACTACTGCGCTCGCGACTACGGCTCCGGTGCCGCCAATTCCAACTCGTACCACTATTCCAACAGGTTTGTGGTTCTCTTGTGTCTGCGAGCCGTGCTAATGCCACGTGTTCAGAGATGGATCGTACTACTACTCCAATCCCAACGGCAGCTCCTACTACAATGATGGAAAGGGAAGCGCGAGCTATACTCCTTCGGGAGGAAAGAAATGAAGGATTACTGAAGAAGAGGAGTTCGATGACTGGCTTGTTGTGACGAGACCACACGGGCTTCGTAGCTCCTGATTAACAATTGCTTACCTTGAGGAAATGTCAAGATCTGAGGTAGTAATTCTGGCTTTGAGGAGTATTATTACCGCTCTGGATAAAGACGAGGTGCACTCTGCGCGCCGTGGTGGAACCCAAGCTCTCTATCCCAATGATGCTGCTGACACAATTCACGACAATGGTGATTGGTATTCTTCTTGTTCCTACGTCGATCGCTTAGGTCAGAATGTTTTACGACTGAATTGTGTGGGAACAGCAATAAAGGTGACTTAGTCTTCGTCACGGCACCATGAAGTCATTAGTGATTGCATTATTTGCATGTTGGAAGCAGAGCACTTCCGATACCAACCAAACTATTACATTACAGTAAGACTATCGATACAATTGATGATAATAATACGTTCGCGCCAGCCCTGAAAATCAAGCCCGCCGCTTCTCTCGCTCCGCGCGTCTCTTCTCCCTCGCTTCCGGACCAGCAACCGTACCCATCAACACTAGACTCCGTCAGCAGATATCCCAAAGGACAACAGAAAGCACTTACCATCCCAATGCCTAAACGAACTGGAATAATTCCCCCAGAAGTACCGATGGTGATCATCATGCCAATCCGCTCCACCCCAAAACGGCATGATCCGCCTCAGGCTCCAGGGGAAATCGTACCCCGAATGCGCATCAATAGCCTGAAACTGCCGCAGCGTCACCCACGCCAGCACCGTCACCAAGTGCACGTTGCAGTTCATCAGTGCCAGGAGCAATGGGGGCCCGATGGTGCCCAAGCCCAGCAGGAGGGTCTCCCAGGGACTCGCGTACTCGGCTGTTAGCCCAAAGGGCGCGGCGTATTGGTGGTGGATGCGGTGGATGGAGCGGTAGAGCGGGCCCCAGTGCATGGCGCGATGCAGCCAGTAGTGGTATGTGTCTTCGAGGAGGAAGAAGGTGATTATCTGTGCGGTGAGGCTGCGGAGGTCTGGGAATGGGATGGTGAAGCTCAGACCGCAGAGTTCCATCATTGGGTGGAAGAGGACGATGAGGGGGAGCTCGACGACGAAGTGGATGAGGAGGATGTACTTTGTGCAAGCCCATTGCTCTGCTGCGGATGGAGGAGGTTTCTGGTCCTGGATCTTGTATTTGAGGAAGATGCTGGGGAGGGCGTCGGCGATGATCCAGGGGAGACAGCGGCTGAAGTAGATGATTTCGTGGGCGAGGAAGGTGATGATTCCTGTAACTGTTAGGATTGACGAGGCTGGTCCATTGTGTTTGTCTGGCTTACCAGTTGCAAGAATGTTATTGTCCCAGTAGGCATAATGTGCCCACCAGAGTCTCTCGAGACCAGAGAGATGAGGTTGTTGCTGAGCGGCGAGGTCGAGAAGATCAGAATAGGTCGCCATGGCTGGCTGCGGATAGGTCGAATTGAGCGAGTCCATGGTGAATACCTTAGTCCTGGCTCAGTAGAGGAAGAGTTTGTCGGAAGCCAATTGATATTGTTGATGCTCTATATAGACCGCGCGGATAAGTCAAGTTACCCGGGATGGCATGATCCGAATGGCTGGACCAGGAACAGGCCACTCGGGAGGAAGGTGGATCCTACGATAGTAGCCATGCAGGGACAGGCGATCACGATCTCACCTTACCTTAATCAATATTTGATTATTTGGAAACGCAATACTCCGCTAATATCTTGGTGCCTATTATGGGCTCGTACGACGTCGGCCCGCGTCTGGTGGACGCCACCCGCATGATTCAAACGGCGTCAGGGCGGATCCCGAGACGGTGTTTGAAATATAGGTAATTAGCATTATTGTGGTTAGATTCAAGTGTGAATCGCGTGTCGACATTTTGTATTTACCAGCCAAGTCAATGTATCTTTCCTCCGTCCTCTCACTTGCTTCTCTTCTCCAGCAATAATTGTTTATCCGACCGCACACTGTGAGACTTGCTTTCTATTATACAGCCAGGTTCTCGCGTATGATAGCTTGACTTTCCCCAATCCTGGACACGTACTTAAATCGCGACGGCCCATCATCATGGCGACCGATAAATACATAGCACATCATATCATCTCACCACGTTAACCCATCAAACATGAAACGCCGCAGCGGCGACAGCCAAACCAACCGCCACAGTCAATTCCACGCTCAAAGAGCCAGCTCCACCCGTCTGTTGCGCTCCAGTGGCAGACGCTGTGGCAGATGAAGTAGTCGAGACCAAAGTGGAAGCGGACGCGTCGCTCGCGCTCGCAGAAGGACTGCCAGTCTCCCGGGGCCCATCGCAGTGCCAATGGTCGCCGTGCGGTTCGCATCCAACCGACTCCGTGGGACTAGGGACAGCCGGTGTGGCGTTGCTGTGGTCATCATGGTCGTGATCGTGGTCGTGGTCGTGGTCATCAGAAGTCGCCGTTGGCATGGCCGTGGCGGAGGCGGGCCCGTCGCAGTGCCAGTGGTCCCCGTGGGGTTCGCATCCCACAGACTCAGTGGGACTTGGAGCGAGGGATAGCTCGCTGGTAGTAGTAGCGGCTCCAGTTGCTGGACCATCACAATGCCTATATGTTGTGAGCTTTATTGGGTCGATTGCTTTTGGTTCGTGTCATACCAGTGGTCGCCATGTGGCTCGCAGCCGACAGAGGCTGTAGGTGATGGGCCGGGATCCTGAGCCAAGGCCGAGGTAGTGGCCAAGGCGAAGAGAGTAAAGATGAAGTGCCTCATTGTGCTTAACAGGGGTAATGGATCCTGAATGAATGGAGGGAATTGGAGAGTAGTTCATGGGAGGAAAAGAAGGGTCCGCAGGGTTTATATATGGCTGCTGGCGCCATGTTCGGTCCCTCTCCTAGTGCTCTTCCAAGATCGTCTTTGATTAATGGTCTCTTGGCCTGAGGTAATATGGCATCGCCAAGGGGAGTGGGAGACCTTGGCGTCTTCAAGGTTCTCACTTGGTTATCTTTGCAGTACCATGTCCTGCGCCTGCACCGGGGCTTTTCAATTGCGGAACATGCCCTGTAGAAGGTGAGAGCCATGATTGGATATCCAGTAATCTTAATACTCAGGAATTATGTGCAGTTCCTGGAATAAATTCACCATGCTGGATTAATTCTTGTAGCTGGAATGCCAAGGGCCAAGTCCGCTGAACGTGTGATGCCAAGGATGCTTGTGAGAACCTTGGGGACGATTTAGTCAAGCGCAAAGGGTTCGAACAAATTATTTTATGTGTGGTTTTGCCTTGTGACGTCTCAGATGTCGAGGTTTAAGCACGTCATTTTGTGCACTGTATTCAAAGGCACTCTTGTGCCGCAGAATACGGAGTAGTCATGTCAGATTCGGATTGTTCTCTATTCTGTGCTGAAATGGCATTCCAGCCACCAGTTATTTCATCAGGAAGATAACCAGAATGCATCAGCATCATGATGCAGTCAAGACATCATTGCTGACTGTTCTCCCTGACAACAACCCTGCATCTTGATGCCTGTTTATATTGTCGAATTCCGAACTCCGATTCGGAATTGATTTATTTACTCCGACTGATAAGAATTGGCCAATAGGAGTCACCCACACTCCAGCTGAAAGCAGCTTCAACCAATGAGCATTGGTAGCTGCCTCTTCGGCGTCAAAAGTACCTTACACGGGACAGGCGATAATATCCAGGCACCCAGGCGTCCACTTTTCACCCTCTTAATAAACACGACCGTCATCCTTTCTGGCCCTTCTTCCTCCATGATCTCAACCATATCATCAACAGAATGTTGGACGAGTCCAGACATGATCAATGCGAGGAAACTCCCTTGCTAGGCCACGACCACGCACCGGAGTCGGGCCGCTTCACCCGCGCACGATGGGTCCTCATTGTCTTGAGCCTGGGCATCATCGCAGTGAACTTTGGCTCTTATCTCGCCATGGCTCCGCAGATACAAATATTTGAGTCAATCATCTGCCAAAAACTGCACCCGGAAATCGCACTTCTCACCACCCAGGAGCAGATCGACGCCAGATGCAAGGCCCCCGATGTCCAGGGTGAGCTGGCGTTTGTCAATGGCTGGAAGCAGACGCTTGATACGCTGCCCGGGATTTTTCTGGCTCTTCCCTTTGGTCTGATGGCCGATCAAGCGGGACGGAAGAAGGTGCTGATGTTGAGTTTGATTGGCTTGATTATGGAGGAGGTGATGGTGCGGATTATTGGTAAGTGATCTGGCTCATTGTTTGTTCCCTTGCTGATAGCGTACAGCATGGTACAGCGCGTTTATTCCCCTGCGCACGGTGTGGTTCATGTCGTTGTTCCAGCTCTGCGGTGGTGGTGCCCAGATTGCCACATCTATGATTTTGACGATGATCACTGATGTGTTTCCGGTGGAGAGACGGTATGTCAATTAATCGGACGCTGGTATGCTAGATGGTAACCGTTGCAGGGCGAATATCTTCTTTATCATTTTTGGGTCAACACAGGTATCTGAGATTGTCGCGAGCCCTCTGAGTGCCTGGCTCATGTCCAGGACACCCTGGCTGCCGTACTTCCTGGGAGTACTGTTCATGCTTTGTGGACTATGTGCTTCCATAACTGTACCGGAGACGCTGTCCAAGTCGACCAAACTGAGCGAGCCCGGCACTGAAGACGATGAGGCTGATGATGACGCTCCACGGACGGTCCGTCATCGTCTAAAGGCCGTCTTGCATCACGCCTGGCATCAGATCATGCATCACAGCCGGTTCATCTTCGCCGAACGCAACATTGTTTGTATCTCCATCGCCCTTCTGACGGCAAACGTGGCTATCCAGTCGCTTGTGATCACGCTACAATACGTCTCAAAACGCTTCTCATGGTCCATGGCAGAGGTACAGTCCTACAGTTTCACTTTCCACTACTTGTCTTTGCTGACTTGAGACAGGCAAGCTTTCTCATCTCCTTGAATGGAATAACGAACCTATCGGCCCTACTCCTCATCCTCCCCGCCATCTCCAAAGCCCTAGACAGATTCCTCCCCCCGATACGCCGAGACCTGCACATTTCCATAGGCAGCATCCTCACAATCGCCGTCGGACACGTCGTCATGGCACTCGCAGCCAGCCCTACAATCTTCATCGTAGGTCTATCGATCTCCTCGCTGGGAGCGGGTTTCTTCCCCGCTCTACGCAGCGTTGCTACGGCATTGGTGGACGAGGCCGAGATAGGCCTTTTGGGGACGACAATTGCCCTGACCCAGAGTATTGGTGCAATCATCGCGGGGCCGACGATGGCAGGCACGTTCAAGTTCAGTATGAGGTTGCACGGGATATGGCTCGGTCTTCCGTATATGACAGCGACTGCACTCGTTCTGATAGCCTGTTGGGCCACCTTGATGATTAGAGTACCTCGGTCGGTGTAGCGTCGGATGGCTTAAGAATGATCAACTGCCGACAGAACATTTTATCATTGTCATATATTGGAGCTTAGCGCATTCGTTTTACTCCCATTGAGCAAATCGGGGAATGCTGGCACCGATGTGGATGGATCGCCAGTCGAACCAACACCACCTATGTGCCCCGCGCAACCACAAGGTTCTCGGATCCCGCTCGGTACCGATTATCATCACGTATGTGTCCTATCTACTCAGTAGGCTACTTCCATTGTTCATGCAAATCAATGTGGGATGATCCCCGCCTAGCGTGTGGGACAGCGATGGTGGCACCATTGCGGCGCGGCATTTCATTTGCCAGCAGCTCTATCTAAGATGCGGGGAATGTTCTCCCCGGTATTCAGCTGAACGCTGATAGCCGAGAAAGAAATATGTTTACATGGTATCGATTCTCGCTCGTTGACAAGCCTGATTTTAGATATTGGCTTTCACAGCGAAGAATATGGTAGGTTAGGATCTTGGACCAGCTGCACCGTCTAGGACTGACATCTCGACAGTCCAAAACATCACACACCGAGATCCGGCCATGTCACGGCGCCTCGGTCCCGGACGTGGTCGCTATCGGTGAAGAACGGGAACTTTTGGCGAAGTGGAAGGAACGATGTGGCATTGAGACGGAGAATCAGATCAGACTGGTGAAGTTGGCGCATATGCGCTACCAACATCCTGACCTTGATGCAATTACTGTCTTCCTCCAAGGTCAGTGATTCATTGTCCTACTATCAGGAAGGCCTGACTGAAGGAAATAGATTTTGGCATGAAAGTCGTCAAAAGGACAGATGGGGAGGTATGGTACCGAGGTTACGGGACGGATCCGTATGTTTACTATGCTCGCAAAGGCCCAAAGAAAGAGTTTCTCGGAGGGACGTTTGAGGTGGAGTCGTACCAAGATCTGGAAAGGTATTTACAATCCTATGACAAGACTTCAGGTTGCTGACAATGTATGCAGGGCGGCCAATCTGCCCACAGGCAGCCCTATCCAAGAATTGAAAGACGCACCCGGAGGAGGCTTCATGGTCACCGTTAAAGATCCAGAAGGATTCCCGATCAATCTCGTCCACGGTCAGTCACCAGCAGCACCAGGTGAATATCCTCCCAAGCTCGTCGTCAACTCCGAGTCAGACAAGCCTCGCGTCCGCCACTTTCAGCGCTTCGTTCCCGGCCCTGCAGCCGTCCACAAAGTACGTCTCCCAGGCCATTCCCATACAGTAACTGACAGATGCAGCTGGGTCACTTCGGCCTGTGCGTCCAAAACTTCCAGGAAATGGTTACCTTTTACACAACAACCTTCAACCTCGTGCCGAGCGACTTCCTCTACGTTGAGAAAGACGGCAACAAGAAGAACGTTGCTCTCTTCGCGCACATCGATCGCGGCGCGGACTATGTCGACCACCACAGTTTCTTCATGAGCACGAATCCCACCTCGCATGTACACCATTGCTCGTTTGAAGTGCATGACTTTGACACGCAGAACCTAGGACACCAGTGGCTAGCGAAGAAGGGGTATGAATCTGTTTGGGGTGTGGGACGACACATCCTCGGGTCGCAGCTGTTTGATTACTGGTGGGATACCACTGGGAACATGATCGAGCATTATGCGGATGGGGATTTGGTGAATGAGGAGACGCCGGTCGGGTATGGGCCTGCGGGCGATGAGTCGTTGGCTGTTTGGGGCCCGGAGGTGCCTAAGTGGTTTTTAGACTAGACTCTTTCTCGAGTATAGTCACTTCGTTGCCTAATTCTCAGCTGCATCCATATCCTCTGTGTTCCAGGACCGAGCGGCGTAGGAACACCCTTTTCGCCGGTCTAGCAAGACATGCTGGGTATGCAGTACACGGCCAATGATGATGACATACTCCAATCGATGAAAACGATAGCTGAATGAAGAATCATGAGTAAGACAGTGGTAATGGTTTTACTATACTATTAACCTCAACGGCTCGCAGCGCCATAATATTAAGTGTAGAGCGTCCATTAGTTCACTGTATATTATTAAATATCTGATTCCAGATATGTTTCATAATTCATAGAGCAAATATCAACTTGTATTTCTCTCTCTCTCTCTGCTGTTTCGTTTATGGAGATCGTCTCCACATAGAGCCAAGATGGTCTTGGCCAGAGGATAGTGTTCTTGGACAGCCTAATAAGCCTTTATATGATTGATATAAGCATATAACAGGAGCAATCTTTGGTTCTGGTCTTGGTTTAGCTTCCTATCAACCATAAATGCCCGAACGAAAGACGTGCCTCGACGATCATTCCTAGCGCCGTCGAGATAGTAGGGTAATGATGCGTTCAGCGCTTTTTCACTTGGGCAATGATTTAGCTAGTGGTTACAAGGATCTACTTATTATTACAATATATAGGATAAGGAGACACTGGTGCTGTTTGTAAAATCATAATAGTGAGCATAGCGGCCATGTCATTGAAGATCTGCACTGATGACGTTTTGGGCTTTTCTGTGGCTTGTTTGTCCGTTGACGTCACCCCGTCCCTCACAAGTATTACCAGCATTATTACCACCACCACCACCGCCATCATCAGCATCGTCAGTGTCAGAGCCACCAGGTATTGCCAAAAAGAAACAAGTTTCGGGCTTTGTGTAACATTATTAATTTGGCATGGCTCAACTTATATTAGTCAGTCATTTTCTCTGGAGATCTGAGCTGACAAAACCGTCAACCCTCCACCCCCTGGTCTCCCTGTCTACCTACCTTTATCTATTACCTCGCCTCGATTTCTGAGAGCAATAGAATCCATTTGTTTGAGATATATACTATCCTGACAATAGACTAATTCAATGGCCATCATATGGGGTCTCGACCTCCATGAGATACAATGGAACAAATTCAAAGGAGCGAAAATGTTCAACCGCGCGTACCACCTGCGTCGCACCAAGATGATTGTCTACCAGATGGCCATGATATTCTGCGTCATTTCTGAATCTGTTGGAACGGCAGCTTTATCAGGTACTCTACCCATTGCCTACTGGGATAACCAATCTAACGCTGGTTGTGTCTAGATTATCTCGACCAACAAGATGCCATCCAGCAACAGCACCCCGAAGCCAAGGTTCATAACAACGACTTCATCGGCGCCGCCTCGTATAACATCTTCGTCGGAGTCTCCGTTGCGACCATCTTCGGCGCCGCGTTTTTCTTCGACCTGTTCTGGCCGGAAAGACAAGAGAGTAAATCTGTTCGGTTGGCGTGGAAGATATCTGCGGTGGTGGTGTCCGTGATGATGCTCGCTTCGGCTCTGACCATGACCGTATGACCTTCATAATCTGGATATTGCTGTGCAGACTGCTCATGAGACTAGATCATCACTGCCACGCATAGCGCGCGTATCACCGGGACCGACGCCGCATCCGCCAGGAAATTCTGGGCGGAACCGGCCAAGAAGCCTGCTCTGCGTATGTATTTGCCTGCTGCTTCTTTCGTCACGCTGGCTAACATCATGGAGAATACCGGACAAACCCGAAAGCTATTGCGTCCGTCGTCTTTGCTTGGCCTGGTTGGGTTGCCACTGTTGCGAGGTAAGTCATTTTCTTTGGATGACGCGCAAGAGGAGACTGCTGATGCAGCATAGTACTGCCATTGTGTTCATGTCCCATAAACATGACGACGAGCTGGGCCCGAAATCGAACTATGGACGCGAGACGGAGAGCGTTCCGGCGATCCAGGAGACAGAGGGGAAAACAATTACTGTATAGTATCGTTGTATTTTGGATGATGTTATGACTTGTATGATACCATTATAGATTGCCATCGCTATTGGATTAGTAGGAGAGGGAACCTGGAGCATCTTGATATAATGATTGGCAAGGACTGGATCATCAGCTGCAGTAGTAATAGACTAATAGGCATAATTCATAGAGCTTAAACCTGACATTCTCTAGTCATGATATCAAGGTAGATTTAGGAATATGCAAGGCCAGCCACAATACTGCTATATAGGCAGTTCTGAAGCTGCATTTTCTCCTTTCCTCCACGGACTATTGGCCATTCCTGCCCCTTCCTCTTGTAGCATACAGGGCTATTCCCCAAGCTCATACAAGTCATCCATCTACTACAGCGATTCAATACCCCCTTTAAGCGTACTGAGGCACGGTCGAGACATGGCTGCACTTACATGTGCCCCCCCTCAACTCGCTTACTTCTCGCTTTTCTTATGAGCCTAGAAAATGTTGCAATGTGGCACCTCATGAGCACCGGGAGACCGCAATCTGTACCACGCGTGTCCCTGTATAACATGACGAGGCTGCTGCAACGATATCAGGCGCCAATCGAGCTAACCCCACCTCTAGCGCGATCTGTCAGCTCACCACATTCCATTCAGTAAGTTCCTTGCTTCATAGACTGTCTGAAAGGTTCCGGAGTGTTTGAATTCAAAGTTGACGAGCAGAACTTGACCCAGGATGCCCGATCGCGCTAGGCAAATCCTGGCGTACTTCTCACGAGAAGGGAAGACCCCAAAGCCTACAGGAAAGGTGGATCAGCATTCATGGCGGAATGTGATCAGGAATAAGGCCACAATTTTGGAACCGGAAGGTGAATCTAAGCCGCTGCTGGTCTCCGAAGCAGCTGCAGAGACATCGTATCCAGAGAAGTGACGGCCGCAAAAGGACAAGATACGATCGGGCAGTGTCTCTCTCATGAGGCTGTGGGACGAAGCATATCAATTAATAGAGAAGGAAGATGCTGAACTTTTGGCTGCTTCCGAGAGATATCTCCTGATCTCTCAGGAGTCAAGCCAACAGGAGAAGGGAGAATTGGGGATCGCAATATGGGACATTTGTTGCGGATCAATAGCAATAGGATCCTAAAAGTGGCTTTCTCTCTCGGCGGCCGGGCACTAGCCTGCACATTGGATGGATCGAATAGACGTGTGAAGAGTCTGGACATGGGTGAAAAGGAGCACATACTCGAGCTTGATGCAGACGTGTGTTGTGTGGCGATCTCTCGAAGCGGCTTCCAAATAGCAGCCAGTACCAAGGAGAGCATCGTGTGTTTCCGCGGCATGGGAGCAGCTGCGACCCAAGGAGCGGTGGATACCAACAGTTAAACTTATGTCATGTCCTTCCTGTATTTGCCCTGGGATTTTCGTCAGACGGCTTGAAACTCGCGTCTGGGCACGATGACGGGTGCGTGGTGCTATGGGATCTGACGGGCGATGGCATGGTACTAAACAAGGCGCTGAGTCCGCCTCATGCCGATTCTATCACCCAGCTTGCATTTTGTGTCGATGATACTCAGCTCCTATCCTCGTCCAGCGACGAGACCATCCGGGTGTGGGACGTCACATCGGGGGAAACAGAGCAGATACTGCAAAGTCATTCGTATACTGTCTCAGCGTGGCTTTCTTTCCGGATGGTCGCAGAGTGGCCTCAGGCGCAGTGGAGAGCATGTAATTCTCTCCAGATGGCCGGAAGCTGGCATCTGCAACCGACTGGGCTACAATAAAAATCTGGGATTCTCTGTACCTCGGAGGGTGAGGTAACATTTTAATTGCAGAACGTGCCCTGGGACCCTCGATTCTCCCCCGACAGTACTATGCTGGCCGCTGGACACAGGTCCAAGATCGAATTATTCCGTGTCGCCTCTGGGCAACTACTTCACAAGATCAGAGGTCGCTACCATTACAAACGTTAAATCTGATGGCTGTAACGCCACCTGAGGGGGGTGCAGCTTGACAGAGCGATTAACGCAGTCTCATCCATGCTGCTCCTCAGAGGCAACATTATCTGTTGCATCTGTCGGCACTCGCAAAAGGGGATTTCCTCCAAGATATAGAATCTCGACGAAGAGTACTGCTGCGATGCCAGGTACCCTATTGGCCAATAATGTCAGCCTTAGCTCTGAAGCAATCAGTAACATTGAAGTCGATACGAAAGGCTCTGCCTACAGTGGCGCGTCAAAAGTTTAAATCTAATACTTCGTATACCAGCGATCGCCTCAATGCTTGTCTAAAGACGATGAGGCATGGTATTAGATAGCTTGCCTAGTACTTGGTTACCCAGACGGTTCCATGCCTCCTTTGCTACATGAACAAGCTGCTCGAGCGCATCTGCTGAATCCGGCACTCGCTCAAGGTCAGGGTCGAGCTTATATATTTCTTGCTTCATGATAGCCCAGAGGTCCTCAATTGGATTCAGATCAGGTGATTAGGGCGGCAGAACCATAACCTCTGCCCTAGGTCTTAAAGAACCTGTGGAACAATCCTTGCAGTATGCACACACGCATTATTATGCATAAAGATATCACCCCCGATGACAAACTCTGGAAGCCATGCTCAATATAAAGCCTCAATGTGTTGAGGATTGACCCTTCCATGGCCTACATCTGGATCACCTTTGATTGGAACAAGGCCTGTCCAAATAGATTGCCAAAGCCAGCTCAAGACATGTAATGTGAAGAATCCTCTTGAATATCATAGTTAACATAATTAAAATACAGACTTCATGCATTCTGTACGTTGACGAAGAAATATGCTGCATAATACTGCTATATGACATAGCATTCAACCTGAATTTTCGAATCTACTTGGTCCAGACGTACCGCACACAAAAAACATCTACTACAGGATCTGGGTAAATAATCAAGACTCCCCTCTCAGTATAGCCCGAACAGCCTCAACATCGGCTTTGCTCATATCCATCACATCTATCACAAACTGCTCCATTTCGCCATACTTCACCTGGACAGCCTCCAGAAACGCCATCATGTACGAAGCCTTAATAGCAGTGAACTCCTTGAAACCCGGGGCTCCAACAGCGCACTCAGGCCAAGCCTGTTGCAATGAGCGCAGAAGATACTCTTTTTCTGTCTCAATGCCGACTCTTGTCAGCGCGTAGTCCCGCGCAATAAGTTCGTCTGGAACACCTGCAAGGCTCAGCAGCAGTGCCGAAGCAACGCCGGTCCGGTCTTTACCCGCTAATGTTAGGCAAGTGGTAATCAGTAACGTCTTGCTTTACTGTTGGGGTCTAGTCACCGGCTCCAACATACAATGACAATGAAAAAGTATGGCCTTCTTTTCCCCTGCGGATCCACCGTTCAATGAGTCCCGGATATAGGTTAGCAAACTCCTGAGGCTCGGTATATGGGACTCCAGGATATCCAAATACATGTCCCTATACGCATCGTTGCCATCGTTGGCGGCAAAGTCGCTCAGGATGATCGGCGTGGGTGTCCCTGTTTGTGGCTGCCAGAAGAGCTTGACCCGCTCATGTAATTGCGGAGGGGGAAAGAGCAATCTTTCCCTGTGACTTCGAAGGTCCAAAATAGCACCCAGCGACAATTCTGATACTAGCTGGGACTTCCCAATTTCTGTGAGATTGCTGAGGAGTCCAGAGCGATAGACCAAGCCGGGCTGAATTCCGGGGTGGCCGATATGACCTAAATCGCGGAGATTGAACCCGCCTTCAACAATCCGGAACGGTGGCTTGCTGAGAATGCGAGTAAGGGCCTCCGATGGAATGGGCTGGTCGATCTCAATGTCTATAATATCTGCCAGCCCAAGATCGGGAGCGACAGGGCTCACGGTAATGGAACCCATCCTTCGATGACTATGTATATTTGCTGGCTTACTGTTAGGAATGATGCACGTTTGTATTCTGTCAAAGCCACGGCGCGTATGTCTCACGGTGCAGAGAACAGAACTTATATAAGAATCATGATGAATGATTCAGGGCACCTTGAATGCCCCACATCCTACGTGGCGATGTCTTAGCCAAGGCTTCATCTCGTGTCAGTCAGCCTATAAGATTGTTGAGGGTCCAGGGTCTTTGCGATGACATAAGTTTTGAGGACTATTTATATTGCTCTCGGAATTCGGGACGCTCTATTATTATATTTCCTCAGGCTATTGCGGCCATAGGCTTCATGGAGCCCCTTAGCCAGTGGCTCCCTACTCCACAATATTTACCATTGACTGGTTATATCCTACATCTGCACTGTCCTGCCCTGCATCAATCCTCAACTTCTTCCTGGTAGCGCCCCCTTCGATACCCCTGGGGTCTCGCTCATTAACCTGCCATTGTTTCGCGCAAATCTCAACACAGCCTATACTACATCTAGGTTAGGCTTCCACCGAGATAGGTCACCATCGAATGGCTTCCCGTCCGTGATGATCTGGCCGATCAGCCTCCTAGCGCAAATGACAAATTGCCAAACCTGTCTCCCATTACCTGAATCATGTCGCTGCAAAGATAATCCCATCCCCCCTACATTGAAAGAGAAAGTCCTTATTAACTCGGTTCTTTCGCCACATGCACAGGTTCCGGAACTTGATTACTGGATTGCAGACAGAAAACCCCACGAACCCGCGTGGCCTGTTCTCAGCTGCGCCAAAATAGATGCCTCGTGTCAATTTAGGCCATCGTATAGGAGTCTCGTGTGCTTGCCTGGGAGTGCGGTATCAAAAGCTCGCGTGAATCTGCCTCCGGCACATTTCTGGAATTCTTCTATCTTCGCTTTTGACTCTTCTGGCGCATCTTACTCCACAAGTTGGATTTGAGTTGAGTATATGCCAACTGAGGGGGCGGATCAGGACTGCTCGGCTCTTCAAGTCCTTAATTCAGGAGAGACCGCACCTCTAAATTGCCTTCCGTGAGGTCGTGAGCGGCCAATCACTATAGCTCAACCCTGGGTTCCTCTTTCCACATTTATTACTTAACAGAGTGATGATTACCCACTCTAGTTGCCAGGGTTTAAGAGCAATTCAAGCACAGTGCAGTTATCCATGATGAATATAAATGAATACTAGAGGGGGCCATTACAATCCTAGGGATCATCATCTTCACATAAGTTACAGCTTCATACATAGCTCCAAGTTACCTATAGTACACATTCATGCACTCTTCTCTTCCTACAGCCTGATGACATTTCTGGAAAGTTACATTGTAGACTCTCACCACCAACCCCACAGTGATAACACCTCAGTGTAAAGTGCTATGGGTGAACATCTCTAGTCGGGCTTTGTTATCGGGTCGATGGCATCGGTCATTGACATCTGCCTCCGCTATGGTGATGTACTCCCTCAGGGTTGGCTTGCGCGGGTCCAATGCAGTCGGTAGGATTGTCTCCACCTCCATTTCTGCAGGCAGCAGTGGTCAGCTAGGAGTTTAAATGGTAAGAAGAACTTTTCCTTCTGGTTAGACACAGCTTCACGCAGCGTTGCCCAACCCTGACTTGGCTGTATTTAGGGCCAGACAAATATTCGGCCAGACCACTTGGACTACATGCGAGACCGGCGGAAAGGTAGCATTCTTCCATACCTTATCTAGCAAATATCCATGCCTGACATGTTCTTCTAGCTGTGGCTGAGGAACTTTGTAATGCCAGGAAGTCTGAGGGTACTTCACTATTCCAACCACCACGAGAAGCCATGGCAAAGTACTCTTCCGGCCCTCAACGTTCTATCAGACAGAATAGACACATTCGCCTTACATGTGCGGTCCCTGAGTCTCCATCTCCGAGAACTACAGATATCACGTGGCTATCACCTCAGATTTCTTCTAGCCACTGATCCAGCGAAGCACTGAGCCTGCGCGTCTGCACACGAGACCCGGGAAGGACGAGATGCGCCGGTGAACAAAGGTTCAGAATGAGAAATGTCGAAGGGACGACCGCATTGATTGCTACTTCTGGGGCGAAACAGTTGGCATGGAGGATTTTGTTATTCAGGTCGGTCATTGCTGTCATTGATCATTATGTATGTCTGTTGTGATGTCCATTTATTACCTCCCCACATTCAGAGATATGATCCTTGAAACTGTCTTTTGTAAACATCCGGCGCCAATGAAGAGGTTTATCATAATGGTGGGATTTGCAAGCGATACAGTGGAAACCCCATTCAATAGTTCCTAGGGGCCGAACTATGAGCGGTGCACGAACAATGCCCATGTAACGTTTGGGATTCGACGAAAATCCATCAAAGTCATCCTCTAACTTGGGCCGGCGCGTACGTTGACTTTGCCGCGCTTCATGTCCTGAGGCTCGATGCTGATATCTCTCTAGTTTTCCAGATGCTAATTCTGCTGCATGATACTCCATGGCACTGACAGACCCATGCAAGCGAATCCCCGCTTGTCGCGCAGAGTCATGATCAATGAGTGTAAGTCGCGTACTGCATTTAATCTCCCGTGGTGAGTAGTGGCCTGGAATACTCCTCATTCGAGGCAAATTCGCTAGGTGCTCTCGACGGAGTCCAAATTTCCGCATGGCATCCGTTCGGAGCAGTGGAAGATAAGCAGTCTTCTCCGTGAAGCAGAGAAAGCAAACACGACGACAGGTGATCAGGTATAAATAGCCGCCAAAATCACCGCAACCGTCGCAGTCAGCCGTACATAGCTTTGCGTAGAGGTTTTGACATGAGATCCAATCTCCTGTTTCGATGCTCAGGATTCCTCGGATGGTGGCAGGTGCGTGCTCGATAATCCTTCGGTATTGTGGAATCGAATCTACGACCCCTCTGGCTTGTCGATTGACGCGTCGAAAGTCGGTAAGTGACCGGATTCCAAGTTGTATGAGCACTATGTTAAGAAGTTCCAAAGGGAGTTTGTCCAAAGTTCCCAATGTACTCCCTGGGGCATCATGTCGCTGTCCATTGTCGAGCGGACAGAGGCTTTTAATACCATCCAGGGTATGGTCCCTCAAATCAATATAGTAGTAAGTCAATTCGCTCGTTTTGCGAACAATGGCCATAACTCTCCAAGCCGGAGTCTCGCTTCCAGTTCTTGTGGCCTGTGTAGGAAGGGAGTGAGGTAGGGAAACAGGAGAAGTAAGGCGCGAATATCTTGATTGGTATGAGGTATGAGGCATGACACGGCCCAGAACGGGGCGTTTCCAGGATGGCAGCGCGTACGCCCCCCCACAGGGCGGAGGACGTGTCTTAACTCCTAAACTTATCAAGTGCCCCTATGTTAGAAAATAGAATACCGGTATGATTACAGATTTAAGACCCTATCCTGACTGGGATATAGTTGGGCTCCCTTTTGACCTAGTGTTATATTATTTTGATACCCTATTACAGGGCTAGTTACGTATTCCTGCGTCCTCAGACAAATATAAGGCTATACAGAATTAACCAGTACAATATTAGTGTAGATACATGTAGTATCTGATGCAAGTACTACACCTTCAATGAATTAATGTTGTCTGCCAGTTTTCTGTCATTCTAAGGTAGATCTTCTGTTCTGCTCACTGCCATGTTGAATCCTTCTTTTCTTCTTTTGTCCTGACTGAGTACCAACATATAACCGAGCCAGTGCATCTATGTTTGGGTTCTTAGTATCTCATCGCCTCACAAATAGACTGAAATCCTCATCATGAATAGATTTGCATGCAGGACAGATTTATGTGGTATTATAGGTATACCAACTGAATATCTATAGGTTAGCAGGATTTGAGCGAAGCTTTATGACTAGGTGGAGCATACAGGACAGGAATTATATACGAGTTGAGAATGACCACGAGGCCTTGATGAGCATGAATTATGTACACTTTAAAATAAGGTTAGTGATGTAAAACTCCCTAGACAAAAATCCCCACCAAGTTAAGATAACCCTTCAAGTTCTTTCCACGTTGGTCTTGAATCTGCCGTAGGCATCACCAGCTTCAATCCCTCCCTGAGCTTATCCAGAATAAGTTTCCTGCTATACAATACCACACGCAGATCCCAGCGCACGAGCCGTCGTCTCCGTGCCACCAATCGCCAAAGCGAATCCCTCATTTAGAAGCAACATTGCTTCTTCTGACTGACGAGAGCAAACGCCGGGGGTTTGGCCTTGCGCAAGACCGCCAGCGGCATCAAGTTCACGATGATTTGCAGGAGGGTAGGAAAGTAGCTGTCAACCGATCCCCGAATACAGTGAATGTATGGTAATCGCTAGTAAAGGGTATGATTCAGGATCAAAAGAAGGTCTCCTTTCTGGCAATCTATGTAGCTAACTAACTATTTATAATCAACTAAGTGAAAACTCTGCAAAATCTCTTCAATTTGGCATGTTGAATCCATGGTAGAATAGAGCATTCTGATTGGCCCAGCCAGAATTCAGCTAAACAAGGATTCCCGAATAATCACCAGATTCAATAGTGGCCAGATATGGCTGACAGTAGCGAATGTGCGCCAGCTGGAAGAGCCCATTGATGCTGTCTCTGACCTTGGCGTTGAACCCCCCCTTGTCGATGTTACCGGGATCGAACCGGAACACGTACTTGTGAATGGCATTGGAGGTCAAGGCTGCGAATCCCGCATTCAGATGGACCACCTGATGCGAGACATGGGCTTTCTTGAAGTGGTAGATGAGTCTGTCGAGGCTTTCCTGGATTAGGTCCTCTATTTCCTCGATGGCCGCTTCGAAAGTATTTCTCAACGGATGTGCGCCGCTGAATCATTGATGTGCTTATGTTGCAGGAGTAATGACTGTCTTTAGTAGTATTCTAAGTTGGTGGGAAATTCCTAGGTTTTGTCTCTTCTTAGTCTGGCTTGTCTGCCCTAAGATTCTGTTAATATATTGATAAGAATAAACCCCATCTTGGATAGAGCAGCCATTCCTAGCTCGCTCAGATGCTGTCCTTGTATTCCTGAAACGCCATCCTTCGTTACTGAATATAAACAGTATTATTTTAGCAGTTTTCTTAGGACTGAACAGCTTACATGAGTCAGCTTCGCCTCAGACACGGCAAGTTGACATGGCTGTGGAGATATCCCTGATTCTCTTTCTGGAGGTGATCTACATCATCTTCACAGCCATTGATAATATGGAGCCTGTGCTACTCAGATCGGCTTATAAATGGTCAGTACTCAGCACTAACTGTTAGTATAAACTCAATGCTTAGTGGTGACTCTTGACTCTGGATTGATGTTTCCCTCTCCTTTTCTCACACTCAATGCTATTTGTTTATATATAGAAGAGTACAGTAACATGAATCTGGCTTAATACTCCGATCCGTATCTTTAGGATATAGGTATTTTCAATACCACTGTCGTCATAGCTGTTGTCTCAGAGTAGAATAACCGTCGTCCCAGCCTTGTCTAAACCTAGTCAGAGACTAGCCGCATAGCCAACCAACATTTAAAGACCCATTGGCTCACTATACTCGTTTAATCAGCCCGAGAGGCTCATCCCATGCACACATTTCTTGGCCATCGGCCCAAGAGCCTTTTAAGCTCCACCGAAGCCCATGCGGCTGTCATTTACTCTCGTCGAACAAAATGTCCTGATTACACAAAGCTCCGTGTTGCCCATGATGGAAACCAACCAGACCAAGGAACCCAGGTCTCCCGAACAGCCTGGCCTTGAGGTGGTGATACCCGACGGGCTGATTCCGCAGTATGAAAGAGATGCACCCCTCTATTACGCCGGAGATGGATCCGAGGCACCGATACCGGTGGAAACAGAGGTTGGCCAAGGCCAAGAAGCCAAAAGTGTGAAGGATGCTCCGCGAACAATATGCGGGTTCCGGCGACGGTATTTCTGGATTGCAGCGGTGGTTGCTGTGGTTGTTATTGCTGTAGCGGCGGGTGTAGGCGGGTCTTTCGCGAAAAAGGACTCCGGGTGGGTAGAGAATGTATATGGAATGATTGAACAATGCTGATCTGGGTATCCAATGGAACAGTACCTCCACCCCTACCTCGACCGCAACAGCCACCTCTACTTCGACTTCGGCTTCGTCTTCGGCAACCTCCAGCGCCACAAGCTGTCCGGCGAACGGGACGACAATCACCGTCCAGCAAAAGGACTATATCCGATTATGCGACACGGATCTTTGCTCCGACACGGGTGGTTGTGCGAGCGTCACCATCTCCGACGACGATCTCGTAAACTTCAAGACCAATTCCCTTGAACAGTGCATCCAGCGCTGTGTGAGTTATAATGTCATGATCAAGGGTGCTCCATGCAAGGGAGTGAGCTGGGATGAAACAGCACCTTCATCCACCAACCGCACACATCGCTGCTTCTTGAAGAATGATACGAGTATCAGAAAGACGGCACCAAGTGGCTGGACCATTCTCAGTGCGGTGGCCAAGGAGTGAGTTGTTTCTTCTGTGCATGCTTTTGCGATTGGACATATCATAGGCTGTTTATAGAATGAGCTGTCAGGCAGGTTGACTATACTGTGATTATCACTTCAAAATCGACCTTCAAATTCTTAAATGACTCCAGATGAGCCATAAATGGAGGAAAAAGAGAAAGGGAAAAAAAGATTTAATGCATCATCCGTGAATCGAACACGGGCCTCGTCGATGGCAACGACGAATTCTACCACTAGACCAATGATGCTGTTGCTTGGCAGATAATCCACCAATTTGCTTAATGATCCAGATCCACTCTGTATCAGGAAGAAAACAACATCTTCGCCGCTTCGGTTTATCCGTTGTCGGTTGAGGTAATCGATGATTTATTGCATAGGTTAGTTTTAGATTATTGTAAGGTAAGTTTGTCATTAATTCATCTATATATGTACTCCCCGTTTGTATAAATCATAGTGCTCACCACCAGAACTGACTCAACTATATATTATAACAATTTGTCTCCAAATAAAACAGTGCACAAAAGGACTTGACTTTCCGGCCTGATGGCAAAGAAGACCAGTTTCATAAACTAGCCGTGAATGTCCCCTCAATCCGCTCAATCTGTGCAACGCCCCGTTTATAGCTCTCAATGGCCTGTAGCCGATCAGCATAGGCGGCTACCCCTGGATACTGGCTCCGAAGGGATGGCGGTCTTGACAACGCCGCGATGACCGAGTAGCTCAGCTGAATATCAGCAGCTGTGATCGTATCTCCACAAAGATAAGGACCGCCCCCCGGTGCCGTCTTGAGCCGGTCTTCCAGGAAGGCAAGATGCGTGTGGATATTGGGATTGATAAAGGCCCCTTCTACCTTGGACGCTATCATCCTAGTCACTGGCTTGATGAAGAATGGAACCGGCGCATTCCTCACACCTGAGAATCATATCAGCTCATTGTCCACGATGAGAGATCTATGAAGCATGGACATACTGTTCATAACCACCTTCATCACCAGAAACGGCGTCAGACTGCCCTCGGTATAGTGCATGAAATACTGGTACCGCATCCACGCTTCCGTCTCCCCGCCGACCTGGCCTTCTTTTTCTGCGGCATATCGCTGCGGGATGAGCTTCTCCCCGCCGAAGTGGGTGCAGAGATACTCGATAATCACTGCGGATTCGGCCAGAACGATTGGCTCCGGGCAGTTGGGTGAGGTGATGGTGATGACAGGGGATTTACCCAGCGGTTGGATCTTTTTCAACTCGTCGGGTGCTGTCATGTCGGCTTTGCGCTTGAAGGTCTTGATCTCGTAGGGGATGTTGAGTTCTTCCAGGATCCAGACGATCCGTTGAGCGCGGGACTTTTCCAGCCTGGTCCTGGTTAGTTGATTTCTGGCATTGCGCGCAGTAGAGTCATGGGTTACCAGTATAGCGTGATTTTGGTATCTTGAGTATCTGTCATGGTGAAGAGCGGATAGTAGCTGGAGATCTGTTGAGGAATGCGAGGTATAGTTATCACCGGTGAGTGCAATGATCTCAAGCCGCGTATAATCTGTCGACATAGACTCACCAGCTTCCAGTCTGAAGGCTTTGCTTATATATGCTGATGGGTTAGCTGTAAATGTATACTGCGGAGGAATCCCGATCTCGGCTCAAACTTTCCTCCGTATTCTTATTCAAGGCGTGCTATTCCCGCTCCTGGCAGATGGAGGCTCGTATTCGTTCTACCCTGCGTCTCTATTGGACCGCGAGATTTCTATCGATTCAGATGACCCTGTCGGAGAAGAGTCACCCCGCTTGGGATAGTAGTACTCTCCGCCACAGTTAACTCAAACACAGCCCGGCAGTTGCTGTTGCCTGTCAACTAAGTTCGGTACTCGGAAGTTACACGATCTAAACTGATATTTGATCAGCTTCGGAGTCCCTGAAAATAGAATTATCTTTATTTGTTTATAGGTTACGTACTTCACAGGCCTACCTGGGTCAGTCTCTGCAGCACGTCCAGACACATCCATCATACTTCCATAGATGTGGTACCCACAAGTGACAAGATTGGGTTCGCCCTATTATTTGCAAGCCCCTTGCAGGATTGACATATCTTCTTCTCCAAAATATACCAAGAGACCAAGGTATCCGTCAAGCTGAAAATGTGCTAAAGGAGCTGTCATACCTACGCGAGGCAGTAATAGGGCCGTACCATAGCTTGTTCCGAAGGAGATAATATCTCTGAAGCACAAATGATGAAGGAAGGGGCCAGCTCGGGTAGGTTGCTATCCAGCAGATACATGATAGCGAAAATGTCAAGGGTCCATTAGTCTTACAGGCGACTCATCTAAGTAGGAACGAGTCGAGTATATATTACTGTAAATGAGAGGTCAATAATTAGTATTATGCTCAGGCAATCGACTTCTACTCTTAAGGCTTCGCTTTGCATCCATACATAACTCTCACTCCTAACATCCAACTCTATCAATACAGATGAAACAGCGGACCGATGGGAGGGTATTCTCTACTAGCTAGATCAGCAGGTAGATCCCACGCTGATCTAATATAAGGTTGATTAAGCTTACCTCTGGACTGTCTTCGACAGGTACTGAGCCGGCGCTTTCGACCGAGTATAAGGCACATAGAATGGAGCACAGACTCCGGCAACCAAGGAGGTTCTCACAGCCGCTTTTAGGAGCATGGTCACTGTTTAGGATAGTTCACGGGGCTGGTGTTTGCACGGTCATATTCATGTTCTTTGGTCTGAGTGATGGTAGCTGTGAGCTGTAGACAGACCTATTTATGATAGATGTATGCAGCATTCCAGACCTTTCATTCTGTTCCTCAAGGAATGATTATAATTAGATGCACACTGATTGGCTATGAGCTGCATCAGGCCACGAATGAATGGTCATCTGAACAAGATGAGTGATGGCATGCAACACAATCCAATGACGAAGCTGATTCGCTCAGATGAGGGATCGGATCCACGCGGGCCATCCCCACATATACCCCGCGTTTGTCATTGTTGACAGTTCTGGGGTATTGAATGGAGGATCGCCCTATAGTTATATGCTGGCTGCTGTGTCAATACTAATTAGAGTGCGCCGGTCATAAGTTAATTATATATACCCTTTGAATTAACCCAAGTGCCGATGAGGCATGCCGCACTGTAAAGCAACACCGCCAAAATGGACTGGCTGTCCGCTCTAAAGCAACCGCTGTCTGAGGGAAAACGTAAGACTGTGTCAATAAGATGGGGCCATTGTTCCTTTTGACTGGTTTAATGTACAAGATCTATTAACTAGATGCACTATTTCGATAATTCCCTTAGGTATGAGTTCCGTGCAGAGCCTGCCTTTGTTTATCTTGAACATTTCCGCCGCATAATGGCATATACACAGCAATCATATTCCTCTGACAATACTGTCTGAACGGGCTATTCGTCGGCTGTATTTCCCCCGGACCATGTTTCAGGCTTGTAGATCCCCCGGTCTGCGCCGTACCATATCTCCCTGCCGGACGCTGATTGTGGGGTTTTGTTTCTCCAGATGAATTCTGCAGCGGCCGGCCGGCCGACAATATGTCCGGCTGCAGACAATATAGGCTAGATGCTCCGCAACTAAGCCCGGCTCCATACTCTGCCGACCCCGCTTGGGCTGTATATATACAAAAGGGTTAATGACCTGCAGGATGGATTGCGCTGTCTTGCATCATTGTCGAAGGATCTCTGGCGGAGTACGGGATTATCAAGATGTTGCTCATAAGCCGTCTGGTTGGTGCTCTGGCTCTTGCAGGAACAGCCATTGCTTCGCTGCAGATTGTTAGCTCTCGAAGTCCTGAAGTGGGGTATCTTGCTAATATGACTAGATTCCCGGAGCTACATGGACTGCTAGTGGTACTAACCAGCATGTCCAAGCGCATGGTGGAGGTAAGCATACCCATGTTCCGGATGGACATAATCATAATAACCGTGGCCAGGAATCATCGAAATCGACTCGACCTATTACTGGATCGGCGAAAACAAGCTCAACGGAAGCGCTTTCCAGTCGATCAACTGCTACTCCAGCAAGGTACGTTCATACCATATAAGTCCACCGGCCAAGGTTAACTCCTGCAGAATTTGGTGGAATGGACATATGTAGGAGAACTCCTCTCTCGACAGAGTAGCGGGGATCTCGGGCCCAACCGTGTCGTCGAACGGCCCAAGGTCCTTTACAACGAGGCCACCAGCAAATACGTGATGTGGATGCATATCGACGACAGTTCCTATAAGGAGGCGAAGACTGGTGTTGCGACGTCGTCCAGTGTTTGCGGGAAGTATACTTACCTGTAAGTCTGGCTGTGATGTGCATCGGCAGTCAAACTCTAACTCGTTGGTTAGCGGGTCGTTCCAGCCTTTGGGGCAGCAGTCGCGCGATATGGGTTTGTTCAAGGATGATGATGGGTCGGCGTATCTGCTCACTGAGGATGTAGGTCTACGCCATCTGTCTTGTTGATGGAAGCTGACGTTTATAGCGCCCGAACGGCTTGAGGATCAACAGGTTGACCAACGACTATACTAATGTGACTTCTACTGTACACCTCTTTCCAGAGCACATCGAGTCTCCTGCCATGTATAAAAAGAACGGGGTGTACTTCATGTTTGGTTCACAGCTAACTGGTATGCCATCCCCCAATCCCAGCTTGCTCTGGCTAACTTCTGCAGGATGGTGTACGTGCCCTTGTCTCATGCTTCACATCTCTACTAACCCCGTCTAGCAACCAACGACAACAAGTATACCACAGCCACGAGCCTCAGTGGCCCCTGGAGCTCATGGGCAAACTTTGCGCCCTCCGGCTCAAACACCTTCAACTCCCAGACGACCTTCATCCTCGGCGTCGGCGACACAGTAATGTAATACCCTAGCACCCCTCCAGCAAATAACGTACGAGTCTTGACTTCTGTTAGGTTCATGGGTGACCGCTGGGTCCCCTCCAACCTCATGGCCTCAACCTACATCTGGCTCCCTCTAACCCTCAGCGGAACGACCGCCACACTAGTACGCCCCCCCCTTCCTTCCCTCTCCTTCACGCAACCACCGACTAACCCTGCCGCAGCAAAACCAAGTAAACTGGATCCTCCCCCTGCAAGGCACATGGACCCCCGGCCCCACCGAAACCAACCCAGAAGCCGAATCCTCGACCAACGCCCTCTCCAACGGCGCAAAGATCATCTCCTGCAGCGGCTGCTCCGGCGCCCAAGCCGTCGGCTGGATCGGTGGCCCGTCAGACGGGACGCTGCGGATTGTAGGGGTGGAGAGTAGTGCCTCGACGAGGAGCACGATCCGGGTTAAGTATGAGAATGGGGATTCGAGTCAGCGGTATGCGACGGTCAACGTGAATGGCAAGACGCAGGTTCTGGCGTTTTTGCCATCGGGTGGTAGTCCCGCGAGTTCGACGTTGCATGTTGATCTGCAGAGTGGGAGTGGGAATACGGTTACCCTTAGTGCGTATGGGCAGGGATATGGTAGGTTGTTTTCTTCAAGACTGATCTATTGATGGCTGCTGATGGGTATAGGGCCGGATGTTGATCGGTTGATGGTTCCCAAGACGTAGAGGGTGGCTCGGTAGGTTGTCTTTGGACGAGATCGGGGTATATGTTTGATCGGTCACTTCGGGTATGATTGTAGCAAGCTGAATGCAAACGCTATAGCAATTCTTGGGGACTGTTCTATAAATATGTGTAGAACAAGGTACGCAGTATTATATCTTAGAGACCGACAGAACTAGCCTGTTTGGGGTTTCCGCGAGATCGCCAGTTGACTCGGCTTGCCCTTCCAGTAGCATCCAATTGGATATCTGACGTTTTTCAATGCATGTTAGCAGCAGATGATGTTCTAGTATGGTCCGCTTGGTCTGTTGGCAGGACTAGACGGTCGTCAATTCGAAATGAACATCAAAAGAGCTGCTTCACTGTTCTTCACCGGTTGATGACTGTATTTATAAACAGTCTAAATCTAGTACTGTCTATCGTCTATAGTAATCTATCATGTCCAAGCCTCCCAACTCAGTCCGTCACGATAGACCAATCCATTCTGTGGTCCCTCCGAACTGATAATATATCCTCCCTCACAGGCCGAGTACGAGACCTTGGGCTGGGCACGGTAGAACTGATCATACTTTGGGTTCAGAGCATCCCGCAGTTCCTTCACTGAGCCATCTGGATGGATCACGTCCCACGGCTTGATGCAGGTATCGCCCTTGCATGATTTGAGAACCATCAGTAGTGCGTCCAGACGAGTGATAACGTTGGACAGATCGCGGCCGAGGAGACGGGGACTCGTCGCATTGGCGTTGGTGTAGAGATTGTTGACCTGGTAGGGGTCTCGGATCATATCGTACAGCTCGTGGTCGTCGTTGCACCAGACCGAGTAGTACAGACTGTACCCGTTGCCAACGATGCGCGCGGATTTGTACGTGTTGTTGGGCATGGAGAACGAACCGCCAGGTGCTGTAGCCGTCAGTTATGATTCGATAAGATGCTTGCTAACTCACCCAAGGCACCGTAGTCTCCCTCCAGCGGCGATTTACCCCAGAATTCGACTGCAACATGTTCGTGGGCGATGCCCTTTGCCCCCTTTGCGACGGTCATCGGAGTGCCGTCAAAGTCCTCTCGTAGAGGGATCCCGGCAAGCTGGAAGAAGGTCGGAGCCAGATCAATGTGCGTGGTCACCGAGTCGTCAATTTTTCCTTTGGGGATGCCTGGTCCGCGGATGTAGAACGGAACATGGATATCCTCCTCGTAGCCAGAGGACTTACCAGGCGGCAACCGGTGCTGGCCAATGTGGAATCCATTGTCCGCCGTGTAGATGATATACGTGTTTTCGGCTTGACCACTCTCCTCCAGACGCGTGATGAGAGCATCCACCATCTCGTCCAGCGCCTGCAGCGAGCGCAATCGCTGGCGGTAGAAGTGATCCTGGTAGTCAATGACGGTCTGATTAGCCAGCGGGAGGTGCTGCACCCATCCGCCTCCGGTAGGCACCTTGGGGTTGAAATTCGCCGTCCGCGGCACCTTGGCATCGGGAAAGAGATCCTTGTGTCGCTCAGCAGGAATGGGAGCGGTCATCAGCGTACCCTTTGCGCCCCCAGTGCCCAGCGCACTAGGCTCAATATTGGAATGCGGCGCGATGGGAGCAACAGCAAGGAAAAATGGCCGATCACTGCTTAGAGCGTCGTTGAGAAAGCCCATGGCCTTTTCTCTGATGACATCTGTCGTATATTGGCCCGCATAGTTCTTGGGGGGCTCGCGATTCCGCTGGTAGGTAGAGTTGAGGTATGCATATGTGTACGGATCAAGCAAAAAGTCTGATCCGTTCCACCCTTTGGGGAAGGGAGAGTTGTAGTTACTAGTAGAGTGGCCATTCATGAGTTTGCCCGTGTAGTAGGTGTTGTAGCCGGCTTCCTGCAGCCACACGGGGAGCCAGGCCTCATTGAAACCCTGTGACACGAACTTGGGATATCCTCCTATCTCTGGTCAGCATCTACTCAGCCGTTTCACAGCGAGAGGCCAGCTCACCCCATGGTGGCGAGACATCTGTAACCTGTGAACTGGTCAGCAATCTCTGGCCCTTCAGTCAAACGTAATCCTTACATTGGTGTTGTGAGCCTGCCGTCCTGTCCACAAACTGACCCGCGACGGACAGCAGAGTGAGGTTGTCACGAAGTGATTGGTGAATTCGACGCCCTTGTCTCGGATATGTTTCTGGATATACGGTGTGAAGGCTGGGGAATTCAATTCCAGATCTTGATCGTCGGACATGATAAACAGCACGTTTGGCTGCTTTGCCTGTTTCCTGGGCATGAGTAGGGTATCCTGGCCAAAGGATGCAGCCTCTGAGACCGCAAAAAGCCCTGAAAGGGCTATCAGATTATGAATCTTCATGGTTCAAGAGACTTGAATAGTATATGAGTAATAGAATGGAGGCTGTCACAGTGACTTTTGCGACGGTGTTAGCAGCTTTTACGAGACTGCAGTGTTGACATGCAAATACGTTGATTTAATGACCATGGGATGATGCAATTGAATAGGCCAGTGCCTTTATTGATCCTCTGACTCGCAAGTCGAAGATAAAAGCAATTGAAGCAAGGGATTCCCGACATGGCAGTGTTGGATCTTTAAGAAGCCGACCATTGACCAGACTGGTCGATGGGTCAGGATAGCCGGCCGGCAAAACAAGTGAGAATTGATACTAGCTCGGAGTCTAAAATCCTGAGCGACGATGATCAAATCCATTTTGGACGAGAAACCAATGTGCACGATGCCGAGGGTGTCGAAAAAAATCGCCGTTTTAGCGCTTTGTGGCACCATTTCCACCCAATAGTGCTGGCGCTCGGGCTAATCAGCTTTTGCAGCAAAAGGCTTGTTTCTGTTGTCTTGATCAGGTAGATGCAGATTACGTCGGCATATATTCTGTATTCCCTGCCGTCTTGCATCCTTGATTTCTTGCTAGTTTTCCCCCAGTTCTGCCCTCATTGTCGCGTATTTACTCCATATCTTTTTCATCGGATCACAAGACGGCAGTTGACTGTATATACTGTGTATTCCAGTAGAGTGAGATCGCCAGTTGACTATACCAGGATCGAGTTAATCACTGTGGGTCAATGCAATTACGTGCTCCGCTTTAAGATGAGCTCATCTTGGAGCACAGTTATCAGCTTTAATCAATATGATATCTGTCCGAATTAAGTCTCTGCCAGTCATGACAGTCCTGGAGTTTTGACTCGTATGACTCTGATCTCCGGTAGAACGATCCACGCTGTGTTACAGAGCAGAGTTGTCGCGTGAGAGTCAGCTGAAGAGCTTCCTCTACCGCAGTCAGGATTGGATTCCAATAAGACGCAATTTAGTAGTAAGATCGCGCACTTGACTCATATCACATAATCCGGCGATTTTTGGAAGTCTTGCGTTGATTCCGTTGGATAGACCAGATGGCGCTGGGGAGGCGGGTGTCGCTATGGTCTTGAGACAAGTCTAACCGAAGTTGAAGTCATAATTAGGGAACTTGCATGTACACTTCAGCTGTGCGATGGCACCGAAGAAAGAAGCTTGGTGGATTTTATTTCTCCTGCGAGTCATGCGAATGTTACGGAAGCCACTATCGTGCCAGATGGATCATCGGCAAATCATAATCATACCATTCATTTAATTCATCGCAATAAGCAAAGTCGTAGCTCATGTCGCAATTATATACTAAACTAGATATGGAACGAATCCACATTCTCCAGAATAAAGTTGTACGTGTCATTGCGGAAATCATCGGCCAGCAAGGCCCCCCGATTATTGAAGAACTGCATCAGCTGCTGGTCTTCGTTCCACCGCGGCCATTCCATAAGACTACCCCGGCGAGAGTTCGGATCGAGGTCGTACACGAAGCTGAAATAGTAGGTGTGGAACGCGCGCGACGCGTAATTTGGCAGAATGCCATAAAACACCTGCAGAATATCACTGCCGTGGAAGGTGCCCATAATGGGCGTCCCATAGTCGTACGATGACAGGTACGACCAGCAGGGCAGGTCGGGTTTAAGCTCCGTCACGTACTTGAGATATGCTCGGCGCGTCAGAGTGAAGGTGAGATCTCCCAGCAGGGCGGCCAATCGTTTGAACTGCGGATACCAGTTGTTGAAAATGCCAGTGCGGAAGGGTGAGCCGTCTGTGGTGACGTCCGGATAAGTGGCCACCAGCTCCTCGAGCTGGTCGCGCGTCGCCCCAAAGAAGTAATACTTGGCCAGGTAGTCCACCACCTGTTTGGTGGTGGTGATGTTGGACTGGAAGAGCGCGAATAATGTCCCTTCATCCTCCTGGTCGCCGATAATGATTGGTACGGCCGCGTATTTGCCGGTTTTGACCAAAATGTCCGGGCTGGCAGTGATGGCCTTGCCGTCTGGTCGAGGCAGGTATGACAGGGCCACGGAATGGTAGCTTAGGATGCCTGGCACCGCGTTGGCCGCATTCAGAAAGTCAGTATAGTCCAATCTGCGCAGACACTCCAGCGTGTCTGCTGCCGATGAGCAGCCGGCATAGTCCACAACCGCATCATATACCTGCTGCCCCTTGACCCCGTCTACGGGATCAGCCGGGATCACGCTACCCGAGTTCATGATGCCGCCCCGGAACAGCGGCTTCTCCTTGTAGGTATTGTCGCCATCGTACAGGATCATGTGATCGAAGACCGAGATGGATCCCGCGGACTCACCCCAGATGGTCACCTTGTCCGGGTCGCCGCCAAAGGCTGCAATGTTGTCCGCCACCCACTGCAGGGCCAGGCGTTGGTCCAAGAGCCCCAGGTTGGCCGCGCCATCCGCAAGGATCTCCTTCCCGGGCATGAAGCCAAATCCCCCCGTTCGATAGTTCATCGCGACAAAGACAATTGGCATGCCCAGGTCGATCGAGCTTGCCACCAGCGAAGTCGCATCGTACATGGCCGTGGAGCCCAGCTCGAAGCCGCCGCCGTAGATCCACACCAGGACGGGCAGCTTTGAGCCTGGCGTTGTGCCGGACGGACGGGCCACATTCAGGGTCAGACAATCCTCTCCGGCATTTGTCACGGTCTGGA